ATATTTTAAAAAATCTCTAACTAGGAAAAGTAAATCATTTTCTATGGTTGTCATTAGAAAATTTTTAGTAATTTGAAAATACAAAAATACAAATAAATAATCATAAAGTTGATATACAATACCTTCCTAGAATCGTATTGCGACAATTTTGTTCTCTAATATCTTCTGGATTTTTAAATGTAACTGAAGAAATACAGTAATATACTTGTTCTGTTCATAACACTATATATGTCTTTAAATATAAATGCATATAGACTTACAACATTAAATTTTTAATAAGAATGTGTTCCACTGTGAATATTGACAGGTTTATTTGACTAACTTCTTACTGATGGATGTTTAGGTACAATAAAACACACAAACCAGGACTTACTGTTATTGTTCTTATTTGCTTTTGCTTTTCTGTTTTACGAAGATTACACAGAGATTTTTATATTTAACAATGCCACTAGATAATTTAGTTAGCATACCTAAATTGACATAAATAAATTATGTCATTAAATAATAAATGTGCTTTGTGAAATATGGCATTAGAAAGGATAGTAAACCTCAAATCTATAATACATACATATTAACTATTGTGAATAAAATGAAATACGTAGGTTTGATCTTTATTTGTCAAGTGCAATAATTATTTCTAATTGCCTAGATTACATAAATATAATTGGGAATAGCATTATGTTTTACAAATCTATAGGCTTCAGGTATTGAAAGATTAGGCTATAATTTCAGCATGTGCTCTCAAGAAATGAAAAGATTTATTGTACAGTTTACTTCATGAATGTGATTATGTTGGGCAAATCAAATAGTATTAATATTTTAACCTATGATAAGAACATTCTATAGGACAATGAAAGTTCGTAAGCCATTTATTTCATAGCAAACTTATTAGTGTAGAAATAGTAATGGCAAGTATAATATATGTAGTTTTATAAATTTTCCAACTGAAATGTGCAATTTGAACATCAACCACCAGTTTTGTACGTCTACCTTCAGAGGATGCAACTCAGGTGTCAGACGACTGTGAGCATTTGCACCCATATCATATCTGTGGACCTATCCATGTAGGTCCACATACATACATAGATGTTTTTTAAAGAAACTAAAATCTTCAAAATTTAATGATGTTTTTACACAAAATAACTCATGTTATCACATATTTACAAGTTAAATAATAATCATTGCAATTGTATATAATCATTAATATATTATAACATCATATGGTTAAATGATTTACTCTTGCAATTATTCTTACAGTAGAAATTAACCCATTTAGAACATTCTTATAGTGTGATAAAATATAAGGATAGCAATAACTTTCTATGGTGAGTGCTGCAAGGAACATAATGCAAGAACAATTCCGTAGCAATGGATGTGTAGCTATTGTGCGAAGGGCTGATGACAGAGAGAACACAGATTTAGAACAGGCCAGTAACAGCTTTAGAAATACTGTGAAACAGTTAGTGTTACAAATGCATTCAGAAGAGGGGACCATTTGTCAAATGGTACTAAGATGAGTGGATATCAACTTTTAAAACTAATTTTATTTCTAAAAATAAGTGCTTTCATCAAGAATATTAATTTTGTTTCATAATAATAAACTTTAAACAAAATATTAACTCGTGTTATTATAGAAATATACTTTTGATTTAACTTTTATAATGATTTGAGCAATAATCTAATAGTTCCAAGTGTAACCATGTAACAATAGCAAATGAAAAATACATGACATATATATCATCATGTATATTTATTATATTTAGACCGCAATATGCCATTAAAGTACATTTATATCTGATGTTCCAACATCTTCAACTAGCTGTTTTAACCACATTTCTTACTGAAAATCTGGCCAGATGTGATATAATGCTTGCTTGGTTTTGTGTAGCCAGTAGCTTAAATCACTCCCTATGGCAGACAGATTGCTTTTCATGTGCTTTAACCCTCAGGGTGAGTCTTTGTCAGCTGAGCACTACAGAGAATGGAGATGTAGAGACTGCCAAATCTAAGATTATTTCTTATAAATAGCATGTGTCCTTGTCTAAACCCACACATGAGCCTCACACCATCCTCTCCTAATTCCTAATTCACACAATGAAACTTAAGTTACTACACTCTGACCTTAAAATAGCTTCAGGTTATCAATTGGGGGTCTTTCTTGGCAATTAGGATTTTCAGTGAAAAAAAAAACTTGCAGTAAGATTTAATAATAAAATCAGTCTCTTTAGCTCAAAATATTGAGGTAGAGGGACAGTTTGGACTCATTGCACATCTTATGCTTTTCATGAATTATATTGTCAATAGTACCTGGATGCTAAAAAAGAATTATGAGGAAAGTGATTGATACTACTATGACTGTCCTATTATGTAGGAAATAGCCAGATTATTGCTACAAGACTGTTGCTAAATACAATATTTATTACTTGATTTATTGAACAACTGATCTTTCTCCAATGTTCTACTATAAACATGAGGTTCTATACTACACTACATCTTCCAGAAAGAAATCAAAAGATGAATAAACTGCCATCTTCATCTTCATTATTAGCCATAAAGTGGTTGGATCTGAAACTTTCATTTTGGCTATCTCTGTGATATACTTGATTTGGTAGTGTAGAAAGAATCTGACCTTTATTTAAAATATTTCAATATATAAACTAAAGGGAAATAGAGCAGAGTTTATTCCATTTAAATGTAAAAAGAAATATTTCAAATATATTTTCCTATTAATGAACATAATTTTATGGACTCATATCCATGTGCAACTATGTTTATTTTTAGTTTAAATGTCTATTCTGTGTAGTATCTCTGATTTGTATTAGTAACCAGATTTTCCTGTTTTTTATTTAAAACAAGAACTTGCTACCTAGGATCCAGAATTATTTTGAGAGAGTTCACATGAGTAAGACAGCACAATGTGGTTATTAGTCCGAAAAGAACTTTTGATGTTGTATCTAAACAAAATTTCTTAGTTTGCTCATTTTTATCTCCTATTATGTGGGAAGAACTAAAGCTCAAAGTGGACATGTAACAGGCTCAAATCACAGAACTGTCAGACCACTTTACACTTTTCTACAAAATGTGTATATATACTATATATATATATATATATATATATATATATATGTATATATATATACATATATATATATATATATATATATATATAGTATATGTGTGTGTGTGTCCATGTGTGCGTGTGTATGCATGTTATCATTTTTAAAAGGAAAATTGTTTTGAATAGCTTGCTTATGATAGTTTTGGACATGTTATTATTATTCGTTTAGGTTCTTGCAAATAGGAAGAGAAAAGCTTTGATGGACACATGTGAAAATGATACTTTTGGCTTTTAAAAAAGCAGATGTTCCAATGCAAATGCCCATTCTCTAAGTTTCTAGGGAGAACTAGAATTAAGCCTTAACAGAGGCAACCAAAGTCATTTTCTCCCTAGAATTGTCTACACAACTACAACTTTACTTTATTACATGCTTCGAGGACCACAGATACTACTCACATTATGAGGATTATATTTGGGTTTTTGGGGACCAGAGCATGCTCACAGGTCTTCACTTTGCAGTTTTATATAAGTACAATGGCTAATATAGCTTCAATAACTACTTTATAAAATGGTATTTTATATCAACACATACAGTGCACCAAAGCATAGAGTAATAAAGTTAAACGTTATAAATATAATCATAAATAAAAATGTAAAGCAAGTTTTCAGTTACTTATAATTAAATTTTATGAAATGGTAGTAGTTGGGAAAATAACAACAATGATGATATTATGACTTTAAGTAGGTTAGCAAATAGGTTTTCATTTTTCCTTTTATGTCTTAAAACTTATTTACTTAAATATCCACTTATAATGATCACCTTTCCCAGAACAACTCTAGAAGCAGGTAGCCTACTGCTTGTTCAACCATACCTACCTGTGAGCACTGATGTAAGAGCAGACTGGAAGATTCTTTTGAGATGCTTCTGCCTTCATCAATATTTGGCTCAGAGAAATAAGCCCCATGAGATATCCAAAACATCAGAGACTATCAAAATTTGTATTAGTCAAAAGTGATCAATGAACAAAGGTGACAATCTGTTTAAGTACTTGCAGTCCAAATCATCACATACCCACACTATCATAAGTGTGATCAAGAAAATGCGTATGTCTTTGCCTGGAGTTCACTTAAAAAAAAAAAAAAAAAAAAAAAAAAAAAAACCCTGCCGCTGTAGCACACATGTATTGGCTTTAATCATTCCCTTTCTGTATCCACTGTTATGAGGCAACAGGATGAATAAAATTAATTAACAACATCGCAACTCGCCTCACAGACTAGAGATAAATTCAAATTGTCATCACGAAAATTATAAAAACTTTAAATTGGAAAATACTCTAATTAGCCAGAGTTCACCATTACCCTAGAGTGCTAGAAGTCATTGAAATGTCCAAGTGTATACACATGAAATAAGCTTGAAATGTTTATGTGTAGAGCATTCTTTTCCTAACTCCAAGGGAGGACCATATGGCTCCTGCCATGATGACAAAGGATTTTTATTACTAATGGACACTGGGGCAGGGAGGATTTGCTACTGGGGAGGTCACAACACAGCTGCTGCTTCAATGGCTGCTGTGCTACTGACAAATTCAGAAGGAGGCATGGTAAAAGCCACACGTAAACACAGTGATGACTATTTGAGGACTTTAAACTTTACAAACTATTTGGAAAATAGACTTTATAAGGATTTAACTTATCACATGAGCACACAGGAAGTCAGTGTCTGGAACATCTTATGTACATTGCTGCAATGATGTTGGTGCTGGAGAGGGAAAATTGCATCAGCTTTCAGACATCTTTAAACCCATTTGAGAATTTTAAGATTTTTCTAATTTTTACTTCTCTGTGTGTCTCACAAACTACAAAACACCACCATAAAATGGGCAGTGTGCATGCATGTATTTGTGTGTGCACACATGTGTTTTGGGGGATGCTCAATACATACGTGTCTTCCTAGCAGAATCTTCCACAAAAAGAGAAGAGATGTCTTCATCCACGCCTGCTTCATTCCTAGCAATGCATGTGTATGCTCCAGTATCTTCATAGCGCACATTGCTTATGTGGACCTCACTGCCATTTGCTGGGAACAGAAGGCAAATGCGACTTGTAAACTACAGTTTCAGCTTTGGTACCGTGAATTCCGATAACACAGTCAAACAGCTCACCGAGCTTGTCCTAATTAAACTGTTTTCCTTCATTCTACCATACTTTGGAGATGTGCCAAATTGCTCCAGCAGCTCTCAAGTGTTTGTTCATTGTGTTGTCACTCCATCGATGAGAGCTGAGCACTAGCAAATGCAAACACTTTACATTTTATTGCATTTACTTTTCTTACATTGTATACAAAATATTTCTTATTAGCATCTATCAGCTTAAGATATACATATTTATATATAAAAGGCAATATGTAAAAAAAGATATTTTTTTTGAACAAATAAAAATGATCTTGTTCACCTAAATGAACTCATATGAAAATCTTTTGTAATGGGTTGAATGGATGTTATCAACAAGTCTTTAATCTTGTTAAGGAAATTCACTGTTATAAATTAAGTGAATTATATCCGTAAGTCTATTGTCTCATTAAGGAAGTTACAGTGTACCAATGTCACTTAGGCAAGCTTATTTGATATTTGGCAATATTAGAGAATGAGGAAAGGCAGTTAGTAAATTAATTGTCTGCAATTTCCCCTAAAATTTACTTTAAGTAAACTGTAATTAAGAAATATAATCACAAAAATGGCAATCTTGCCAAAAGCAATCTATACATGCAATGCAATCCCCATTAAAATCCCACCACAATTCTTCACTGACCTTGAAAGGATAATAATCAACTTTATATGAAAAAAACAAAAGACCCGGAATAGCCAAAACAACCCTATACAATAAAAGAACTTCAGGAGGCATCAACATTCCCGACTTTAAGCTCTACTACAGAGCTATAGTTCTGAAAACAGCCTGGTATTGGCACAAAAGTAGACAGGTAGACAAATGGAATCGAATTGAAAAATCCTGATATTAACCAACACACCTATAAACACCTGATTTTCGACAAAACAGCTAAAATTATACAATGGGGTGATGACAGCATCTTCAACAAATGGTGCTGGCACAATTAGATGAGGGTGTGTAGAAGACTGCAGATAGACCCATGTCTGTCGCCATGCACAAAACTCAAGTCCAAATGGATCAAAGACCTCAACAAAAATCCAGCCACAATGAACCTCTTAGAAGAGAAAGTAGGTGGCACCCCTGAACACATTGGTATAGGAGACTGCTTCCTGAACAAACTCCTGGGGCACATACACTGAGAGCAACAATTAATTAATTGGACCTCTTCAATCTTAGAAACTTCTGTAAGGCAAAGGACACAGTGGACAAGACCAAATGGCAGCCAACAGACTGGGAAAAGATTTTCACCAATCCTATATCCGACAAAGGGCTGATCTCCAAAATATACGAAGAACTCAAGAAACTAGTCAACAAAACACCAAATAACCCTATTAAAAAATGGGGTACAGAACTGAAGAAAGAATTCTCAATAGAGGAAATCAAAAAGGCTAAAAGACACTTAAGAAGGTGCCCAACATCCTTAGCTATCAGGGAAATGCAAATCAAAACAACTGTGAGATACCATCTTACTCCTGCCAGAATGGCTAAAATTAGAAACACCAATCACCAATGAGGACTCATGCTGGAGAGGATATGGAGAAATGGGAGCACTCCTCCACTGCTGGTGGGAGTGCAAACTCATACAGCCATTTTGGAGATCAGTAATGCTGTTCCTCAGGAAAATGGGAATTAGTTTACCACAGGACCCGGCAATCCCTCTTCTAGGCATATACCCAAATGATTCACATCCATGCAACAAAGACATATGTTTAACTATGTTCATAGCAGCACTATTTGTAATAGCAAGAACCTGGAAGCAACCTAGATGCCCCTCAATTGAAGAATGGATAATGAAGATGTGGCACATCTATACTTTGGAATACTACTCTGCAGAAAAACATAATGGTATCTTGAAATTCGCAGGCAAGTGGATGGCACTTGAAGAAACCATCCTGAATGAGGTAACCCAGTCACAAAAGAGGAACATAGTATGTACTCACTCATATATGGATTTTAGATCTAGAGCAAAGGATCACCAGCCTATAATTCACACCACCAGAGGAACTAAGATACAAGGTGTATCCTAAGAGATTCATATAAAGTCCCTCACAGAAGCAGGAAGGGACAAGTCCACCAGAGCACAGGGGAAGTGGGGGGGGGGCAGCGAATGGAGAGAGAAGTAGGAGAAAACAAGGGGGAGGAAAGGAAAACAGTGCAACTAGGAAGATTGAGCCCAGTTAGGAATAGAAGACAGGAGAGAGAGAGAAAGAGAGAGAGAGAGAGAGAGAGAGAGAGAGAGAGAGAGAACATAAAAGAGGGAGCCAATATTGGTTTGAAGAGAAAATTGAACCCAAAGAAAGGTCTAGAGAACTACAAGACTGCTGCCAACTAACAATTTGGGCATTCTTGGAAAGGCTACTATAAATGCCCTTCCCGGATAGTGAGATCAAACTAACTTATCTATGAAGCCCTCATCTAATACATGTTGGAAACAGGAGCAAACACTCATACATAAACACTGATTCAAACTAGAACCCAGATGCAGAGGGAGAGGACAAGACCAGGCTGGAGAAACACATAGAGACAGCTGATCTGAACAAGGAGGAGATAATGGGCCCCCAGACAGATAGCTGGGAAGCCAGCATGGGACTTACTTAGGCCCCTCTGAATATGGGTCTCAGCCAGAAGGACTGAGCAGTCCAAGGGACCTCAGACAGTGTGAAGCCAGGATGTATCCCTGGTGCACAAAAGGACCTTGCAAACACATCCCCCATGGAAGGATAAGTGCCTTAACCTAGAGATAAGAGAAAAGCCCTAGTCCCTGCTCCACATGACCTGTCAGATGTAAATGCCCCACCTGGATGGAATTGGGATGGGGTGCTGGGAGGGGAGGGTGGTTACAGTGCATGTGAGTGGGCAAAGAGGGTAAAAGGGGGGGGGGAGGGAGGGAGAGAGAACTGGTATCAACATGTAAAATAATAAATTAAATAAAGATAATATATAAAAAATAAATAAAAAAGAGATAAAATCACTGTAAATACAAATAAAATTTCAAATCTTCGTGAAAGAATATTTTAATCTAACCCTTGAATAATAAGTTGAATTTTCCAATACCAAAGACAGGGTGTAATTAGTCATGTATGACATGTTGGAAAAATGCTAGGACCATCACATATCTTATTAGATAAACTATACAAATGGTACTTAATTATTAGATGAAGGGTATGCTATTCATATAATAAATTCTTGCAAGTACTCAAGTACAAAAACTTGTTTTGTTTGTGTGTTTGTTTGATTATTTTTTTATGAAAACTATGTACTACCAAACCGGTTTTCCATTTCTATGAAAAGTTTCGTTGTGTATTCTCCCCTTTTCATTTTTATGTAGATGTCTCCCTGGTTTCTGGTACCTATGCTCCATGTTGCTCAATCACAAATAAAATGTACTACAACACAAGACTATGTGGCAAGTGAATTACTAGTAAATTGGTGTGGTTGAATTAGAGAAACAAGACTTGGTTGAGACAGAAAGATTGGTGAAACAGGGAGAGGGTGTCTTCACCCAAAAAAGTCTATCAGAAAATATGGTTTGAATGTGAAATGACACCCATAGGCTCATGTGTTTTGACACTTGGTCTCTAGAATGTGGCATTGTTAGGGAAGTATGTGAATCTTTAAGGTGATAGACACTCTCTATAAGCAATGGGTCACTGAGAATTATCCTTGGTGTTAAAGCAAACAGATGCATTACCTGACCACTCTCTAGTGCCTAACTGTGAAAATAACATGGTTAGAAAGCAAGCATCGTGCCATCATGCCTTTGTTGCTATGATGAAATATTTCTCTCTAAGTGAAAGACAAAATAAACTCTTCTTTGCTTAAACTGCTATAGCCAGCTATTTTGTCTCAAAATGGGGCAAGTTAATAATACAGAAGAAAACCCCTGACTCAACTTGTATGTTTGAGTGATTGAGCTTAATAGCACTCCTGCTTTCCTGTAGAGACTCTGCCAAACAAAAATTAAAAATAAAAATAAAAAAATTAAAATAATCTGGAGAGTGATTACCCAAGGAAGAAGTGATACCAACAAATAAGGTTTACTACTACCTCACATTATTTAATAATTCCAATTGTCTTTTGATTGCTTTTTGTTTTGTATTTTTATGTTAAGTTGGTATGTTGCTGATAATTGAACTGAACAAGCTTTTAAGAATGCCCTTCCTTCCTCTGTCCCTATGCTGGACTGTTTTGTCTGGTGTTTCTTATTCATTCACCTTTACTCATTCACCCTTAAACTTTATCCTCAATATCCATCTCCTTTTCATTGATGCTTGGTTATTGTCAGTTTAAAAATCTATTCAATGCCCTGAAAATCTGTGAGATACATTTATTCGTTTTTAAATTTTACTGTATATTGTTTGGCTTTTTCTTTATTTTCCAGGAACTTTAAAGTTCATTATTAGGTTGTTTATTTTTGATCAATAAGATTATATTTTAATTTGTGTGAGTGTGTGTATATATGTCTCTATAAGCACTTAGAACTATGAATTTTCCTCTCAAAACTCCGTGGTTCTTGTTCTGGCAAATTACCTGAATTTTAATTTAACTACTGGATATTTAAATTTGTTGTTCTGTCTACTCAATGACTGAATGATCTTCCAAAGACTATTGGTTACACTCCAACTATACTTATAGTTTCTGTTGTTTCTCTGGTTGACATCAGTATACTTTAATCTGATTATTAAACAATAACTTTTCAATTTTATTTTAAAGGCTAGCCTTGTGACATAGAATGTGTTAAATCTTAGAGAAGCTTCCATGGGTCACTAAGAAGAGTATGTATTTCATGTTTTATGGAGTACTGTGTAGATAACTAAACTTTCAGTTGACGTATTATATAGTTAAGCTCTTAATTTTCTCTGTGGACATTTTTAGGAAATATCTGAATATTAGGGTATTGAAGTCTTCAACTTTTTCTATCATTATACACAAATGGGTTTGCTTTTAAAACTATGAAATAAATGAAAATGATCAGGAAGTAATACTTCATATTCCCAGTATTATCAGTATTAAGGAAATGGCATTTGGAATAGTAACAGAAAATGTGTTATCATGCCCTTTTTTTCTAGCTGATGTATATTATTCTTTTTTGCATAATTATTCACATCCTGTCTATTTATAATATACTCTCCTCAAATCATTCACTTCCTAACAAAAGATACTGCCTTTTCTTAGTCCTCTTGTTTTCAAAATCTGGATTATTTTTGTATGTAATTTTTCACCAGCATTTGTAATATCAATAAAGAGAATGTTATTGATGTGTCTGTAAAAAAAAAAAAAAGCTTCAATTCAAGACACTGAATAGGGATGGACTTCAAGGTTCTAGTCATAGTTTTCTGTGTATCTGGCACGTGTGCCTATTTTTAATTTTTCATAATTATAATTGAAAATAGCTATTTTTCCTGGGATTCTACCTTTTATATTTCAGATGCGAATTAAGAACTCATACATTTTATCTCCCTGATATTCCTGGATACACATATTTATAATATAGGTTACTGCCACAAATGCATGATAGGAAAGGAGTGAGGGATGATTTAACTTTTCCTCATAATATTTCTGTTAATTTGTTTAGCTTTTTGTATCTGGGCTACAAGCACTGGAATGTAAGTAGCAAGCATAAATACATAAATGTGTAACATTTGACATGCATAAATAAACAAAATTTTAAAATGCTTTGCCTAAAAGTATTACTCATTTAAAATATCTACTATAAATAGGGAAATCTATGTTTATAGAAATAATAAAAATAAAAATGTTTTGATATTTATCAATACCAACTGAACAAATTTACAAGGGACAATTAAACGTATAATAAGGATATATACACTCATCCATTGTCATTCTAACACAATAAATTTTGACTTTATAAAGTTGATCAGATTTATATATGTCTTTAAGTCAGAAAATTACACTTAACTACTTTTTCAGTACTTAAATTACTTAAGTTTATTAAAAACTCCTTCCTAAATAAAAAAGAGGGGTTTAACCTTAACATAGCAAAATATATCACACAATAGTTTTCAAATAAGAATGACAGTTAACAATATTTAGTCCATTAACATTTAGTAAGACTTAAAGAATATATTCTATCATCTATCCTATCTTTTTGAGACTAAATTCTTATATGTAACTTATCTTAATCCTAACTAAGGAAAACTATAATCATAACTATCTATATTCAGCTCCTTCAAAGACCACAGAAAGATAATATATAAACTCTAGAAATGACAGAGACATCTTGCTACCTGATTAGACAGAAAAGAGGAGATAATGGGAGGAGATGTCATTCTGTAAATATGTTTCTTATACTGGTTAATGAATAAAGCACTGTTGGCCAATAGGAAAGCAAGATAGGTGGGACTAGGAGACAAGGAGGATTTGAGGAAGTAGTAGGGAGGAGTCAGCACGTAGGAGATTGAAGAGAACAGAAACGACGGCCCCCTTTCTCTGGTAAGATGAGACCACATGGAAGTACTTAGATTAATAGAAATGGGTTAATGCTTAAGATAGAGCTAGCAGATAAGAAACTAGTACCTGGCCAACAGCATTATATCAAAAACAAAACAAAACAAACAAACAAACACAAAAAACAACAACAAAAATATTTCTTCCTATGCCCTTGCTTTGGGCACTGAAAGTAAGGGGTTTCCACCCCCTAAGCAATCAGCCACACGTTCCCATCTTATTTAATGCTGTCACCAAGAGCTAAAGTGTCAAAGACCCTGAGCAGTCAGGCCTAGTTTCAGTTCCTACCTGCTTATGCATACAAGTAAGTCTTCGAATCCGTAAGCACTAGGGCCTAACTTCTAGCACCTTCTAGTTCTTGATACAAGCAGTTAAGGTGTCCCCAGATCCTGCCTGATTATTCAGTCCAAACCTCTGATGACGATCATTAAGTGGCACTGATTTCCTTACACCATCGCACCACTGTGGACAGATGAACAGTCCCCAGACCACAAAACTCTGTTCCAACCTTCTACTATACAAACTCTAGGTGTAAAATTTCCGGTGCAGGACTAAAAACAACATGAACATCTATGATAACATGTGGCCTACAAAATTTACTAACTTGTGATAAGGCAACTCAATGACAATTACCTAGTAGAACTTATAGACAAGAATTCCAAGGAATGCTTTTAACTATGTTGTGACAACATCAAGACAACAAAGCTGCCCTCCAAGCAAGGTTTTCCATTGAAATTTTTGTTTTGGTATATTCATTTCCAATATCAATTTAGCTTTTCTTCAATGATGCTACCTCTTTTATTTCATTATATTTTCATAGTTTGTACTAGAATGCCACAACTATAAAACAAGACTATTATACTAAGGAAACTTCTTATTAACACAAAAATTTAAAAATATCCTTACTATGATAAAAACAGATTAAAGGAATTTTTAACCAGGAAGTAAGTTCCAGCTCCACAGAGAATGTTGAAGTGATACTACTTCAATCGGAAGATAATGATAAACACACTCAAGATGTCACAGGGAATAAATAAACAATTGCAGAACAATTAATCAAAAGAGGTATATAATTAAATAATATACTTATCACCAAAATAATGGCATCCTATATTAATCTCTATGACAAGACTATTATTTACAACAGTAAACATATTAGAGAACTGTGTCAGCTTATGTTTTTCAGATGCAATCATGTTTTAATATTCTCAACATTGCTATAATCACTCATTGTTTCTCACATGTGCTATGTATTGTAATATTCCCTAATATTTATTATAAAATAACTGCATACTCATTTAAGCAATAATATATATATATATGTGTGTGTGTGTATATCTATGTATGTATGTATATGTATATATACATGTGTATATATACATATACACATAAAGAAACAGGCACCTTGAAGTGTGAGCTGTTTGGAGAGCTTTGGTGTAATGTCAATTCCATTCTTCAACCAGCCAAGTTGAGGATCTGGTATGCCTTCTGCATGACACCTAAGGCTTGCAGTTACCCCAGGTTCTCTGGCCTGACTCTCTGGATATACACGGATGACTGGAGGAACTAAATGGGGAAAAAATGGATAAGTAATCAGCATTTACAATTGATCATGGAAATTACAGGTTGATACCTTATGAATTACACATTTTCATTAGGTTGTATAATTAGGTTTCTGGTATAATTCTTTACTAAAATATCCCAGGTTTTCTTGTGGAAAGGTAATTCTGGGCCTTTTTCAGGAAAATTGCAAATCAAACATGGGATATCGTGTTTCAGAAACTTCAAATGCTTGAAAGCATAATACTGCAATAGGCTCCAACTTGCCTAGTACAGGATGACTTATGCATTAAATTAACACTTAAAAAGCATTATAAAGAATTAAATCCTTATGGATTCAGTTATTTAAATAAATATGTAGTTATAAAGGAATACTTTTCCTTACCAAAGAACATATAGAGATTAATAACATTTTATACATAATAGTACATTAAAAACATGCTATTAACAATAAGTTTTTTTAAAAGCATGCAAGACTTTACATTAAGTAGTACAAAACATTGTTTAAAGTATTTAAAGCAAATGAAATGTAAGGTATAGTATAGCCATGAATAGAAAGAAATGGTTGATAAAATGTAAACAATTATTCTTTTAAAATTTAATATTGCCCAATCTATCTGAAGATGTAAGCTGTCCTTAACAAATGTGCAAATGCACTTTTTGTATAGAAATGTAGTATCTGCTTCCCAGATTCAGGAAGCGCTAAAAGGGTCCAAAAGTGACCAAAATAATCTCCAAAAAGTAGGGTGAGTGCTAAAAGAACCACCCTTTGGTTATGTGAATCATCAGCAACATGAAGATAAGCATGAGGACCCACAGAACAAAGTTGGAAGAAAATGAAAGACCACATGCTCTATGGTCAATTGATATATCACACAGTGGCAAGATATTTATTTTCAGGACTGTCTAGTAAAACTGTAATATATGGCAGGAACACAAACTTAAACTCCTACTTCATAGTGTATACATATGATTTGAATCAAGTAAATCACAGTTCTAAATGTCCAAAACAAACATGATAACTCTTATGAAACAACCCTGAAATCATAAGTATGAATAATATTGTATAGATTTAGGAGTATATATATCATAACAGTCAGTAAAAAAAGGAAACCTTAAATTTGAATGAATGATCAGAGGGATTTGAAGGTAGGAAATATAAAGGCAAGATATAATTAAATTATAGTACCAAAAAAGAAGAAAAAAGAGAAAAATAGCAAATATGAGTCATAGCAGCTACAAAAGTCTTTTAATAAGTGCATTTTTATATATAACCATTTTCATTTCTAGAATATATGGCACATTTAAGTGAAAGAAGAAAGAGAAACAAAGAAAACATAATAATAATTGAACACCTCATTCTATTATTAAATTGGATGAAGATTTATTAGTTATGGCCCCATAATCACAAACACCAATATAAAAAAATAAATTGAACCTCAACTGAATTAAATTTTTTGGATGACTACATGACATAATCAAGTAAGATGAAGGGGGCTGGGAAATATGACTTAATGGCTTAGAGTATCAGTTTCCATTTCAGAAGACTTGGGCTCAGTTGGCAGCATCCACATGGTGTTGCTCATTCATACTATTCCAGTTTAAGGGAATATGATACTCTCCTCTGACCTCTGTTTGAGTAAGCACACACATGACATACACACAGAGAATACATACATACATGGGTGGGAAACCCTCCTTCCTGCACATAAAATAAAAATAAAACAATATGAAAGAATGGAAGGAAGTAAGAAAGCCTAGCAGACAGTGTAGTATACAATGTGTTTGACACACAAACAAGAGATTTGAATGGCATCCCCAGAATACCCATTAATACAAAGCCAGGTATAGTGGTGCAAGCTTGAAATCAGAGTAGGTGATATAAATAAACCAATGATTACTGGGGCTCACTGTATAGAAATATCTTATTTAGTGAGTTATGACTAGTGAAAGATCCTGTCTCTAAAAAGAAAGTGGACTGAAAGTAAAGAATAACAAAATGTTTCTCCTTTTGCTAGGATACATACTTACAGATATGTATGCATACATATCCACAGGCACACCCCACACACAAATTAAATACAAGTCACAGAGTAGAGAGAATAATTGTAAGCTGTATTTGTTGAGAGACTGATATGCAGATTATATAAAAGTTATTGTAAATCAGAAGGTAAATAAAAAATAACTCAATTAAAATATAAGACACTGGGAGTTGAAACAAGTTGTAGTGATTAAGAACACACTGCTTTTACAAAGGACTTGATCTGATGGCTCTGGCCTCAAAGTAGAACTAAGGAGAACTATATTCAGATGTGTGTACCCCTGCGTAGATACTCATACATACAAATAATATTGTTGAATCTTTATATATGTCTTATTAAAATAGCAAACAAAATTTAAGATGTCAAGGGTAATATAAATGAGATTTGCAAATCTCTGTCAGTTTCTTTCTCTTTCTGTCTTTGTCTCTCTCTATCTGTATATACATGTTTGTTTGTATATGTGTATATACCAGTTTCTATACACATATTTTCTCACCAAAATGACTACTGAAACAAACAACAAAACAGCATGTAAAGATAGGAAATATCAAGAGCCTGGAAAATTCCCACAAGGACTTCGCCATTTGGATTCTGAGAAAAATAGTTTGTTGGTCTATCAACATGTGACACATAAAATTTGAATCAACAAGAATTACAATTAACAGGCATTAACAATGTATTGCTGATCTAGGTTTTTTAAAGAGACTAAAAACTGGTTTGAAAAATAGTTCAAATTAAATTCCACTTCTCATATTAAACAAAGTTGAAAACACAGATGAACATTGACTAGTCAGTGAAAAATATGTGTGTTTTTTTTCTTTTTTTACAACATATAACAATTTCAGCAGGGAACCTAAAGTTGATAAGGGTGCTACAACACAGATATTAAAGATCTGACATTAAGTGAAATAGGACTGACAGGAAAAGTCATACACAATTATAGTCAACTTGTGAGAAACAGTCGCAGAATGGGTCAATATGTTGAAACAGATTTACTGAGAACTAGGAAGAAGGAACAGAACATTTACTAATTGGATGATTACAAGGTTTATTTGTGAATAGATGTTGTAGGATTAGACTGCATTTAAAGGCATACAATGTCAGTGTGAACTATAAGTCACTGAATTTACATCATATCTGGCTTTGTACCAGAATCTAAAAAGATAACAGAAATTCTAAAAATTCTTGGAACAGTGACTAAATCTACTAAAAAAAAGTCCAAAAAGATGGCCATATTGTAATAATACCTTGCAAAAAGCATTCCAGCTATTAGAAAAAAAAGATGATGTATATCATGGAGTATAGGTCTTTGGGAGCATCAAAATATTTCTCCACATTTTTTGCCACTATTTTCTTTAAAATGTGGAGACTAAGTCTCACATTTCAAGATGGGCTGTACTAAATGCTTCACAGTCACAAGACAAGAGGGCTATAGCATGAAATATTACAACTATTGAAAAATGTTTTGATTTGGTCTTGGTTCTGTGTGCCATGGTTTCAGTGTATCTATACCCATTTGTGGTTGAAAAACATGAAATGGGTTAATTGGAAACATAAATAATTCAAAAATTTTAAATGCCATTTTGTTATAAGAACATTGGAATAGCCATGCTTGCTTGCTTCTTGGTTCCATTTGTTTGGAAGATGTTTCGCCAACCATTTTCCCTGAGGTAATGTCTGTCTTTTAAGCATAGATATGTTTCTTGTAAGCAGTAGAAGGATGGATTCTGTCTTCTTATCCATTCTGTTAGCCTGTGTCTTGTTATACTCAAGTTAAGATGATTGATGTGAGCAAAAGTAAGGAATATTGATTGTTAATACTTGTTGGTTTTAGATTTGTTGTTGTTGGTTTTATTATGAATATATTTGCCCTGCTTTAGCCCTGGGTACTAGTGAAGTGGGTATTATCTATTGCCTATGTTTTTCTGAGATAGTTAACATTCTTGGGTTGGAGTTTTACTTCCAGGACTTTCAGTAGGGCTGGATTTGTAGATACATATTGTGAAAATCTGGCTTTGTCATTAAATGTCTTGTTTTCTCCATTTATAGTGATGGTGAGTTTTACTGGATATATATATATATATATATATATATATATATATATATATATATATTAGCCTGGGCTTGCATTTATGGACTCTTACTACTTGTAGACTATCTATCCAGGACCTTCTGGCCTGGAGAGTTTCCATGGAGAAATCAGGTGTAATTTTGTTAGGTCTGCCTTTATATGTTACCTGGCCTTTTTCCTTTGCTGCTCTTAATATTCTTTCTTTATTCTGTATGTTAGGTGTTTTATTATTATGTGTTGAGGGGTCTTTGTTCTTTGGTCCAGTCTATATGGTGTTCGGTATACTTATTGTGCATTCTTTTCTTTTTTCTTTTTTTTTCCTTTTTTGTTTTTTGAGAACACAGATATTTATTGTTACCATCTTGGAGTTTAGAAATCTGAAATCTTTATATCTTAATACTAATAGCACCTGGCTTCTCCTGAACCTGGTGAAGGAATCTTTCCTTGTGTGTATTTCCAGGTTCTGAGGCCTGCAGACAGCTCTTCCTGTTTTAGCCCAAGGCTAATATCTAAGAACTTAGACTTCAAACCAAAATCAATCAAAAGAGATGAAGAAAATCAATTTGAATTCATCCCAGGTTCTCCTGGATGAATCCATCAGCACAAAGTTTCAATTCTGAACATACAAAAGTACCTACATTCATAAAAGAAACACTACTAAAATTCAAAACTACACACACTCATTGTGGGAGACTTCAACACCTTACTCTCACCCCTAGACAGGATTAACAGACAGAAAATTAACAAAGAAAGAAAAGAAAAAAACAGAAGTTGTGTCTCAATTGGGTTTAACAGACATCTATAGAACATTTCAATCAAATAAAAAAGAATATACATTCGTCTCTGCTCCACAGGAAACCTTCTCTGAAATTGACAACATACTAAGTGACATG